AGGGCTCAAATGGCAGGCCTTGGAACTGAGAGGGGTAGTGCCTGGTTGCCCTTGCCCTGAGGAGTGTTTGTATCTTAACATATTTAATTAGAACTCTCCAGGGGGTCAGGCTCATGTTTTCTAAGAACTTTCTTAGAGTTCAGCATATTGTCTCAAAAGAAGGAAGTTGATATTTGGGGGCAGAGTGTGGGAGAATGAGAGTAGAGATGAAAGCTTTGCTGGGAACATCTTTTGAGGCATAACTCATCAGAAAGTGGCTTAGGGTAATTTCTTTATGTTGGTTGTGTACACACACTGAAAACGTCGTTTGCCTCATTGTTATAGGAGTGAAGATGTGTAGCTCCTAAGAGGACTTCTAGCCCTGCTCACCACGCAAGATTTCTCTTATGTAGAATTCCTTATAGTTGGGCATTTTGTTTCTGTGTGGTGGTTCTGCTTTTGGAGAGGTCATCCTCTAATGAGGCAGCTCATTCCCTCTTTGGAACCCTGTGGATGGCCCCTTCTTTGAGCTGTGGTCTGTTTCCCTTAACCTCTACGCATTGCTCTGAGGTCTGGGTCTGAAACCACACAGCAGATCGGCTCCCGTGGTGGGTGGAAGGTATCCTTTCCCTATGAAGATGTCTGTGTTTCTCAGAAACAGTGTCTCTCCCAGCTAAACACCTCCAGTATTCTAGGGGACCCGGGAATGGTGTCACGTGCCCTCACCTTCCCGACCTGCTGTTCTTGTCACTGACTCATGGCAAGCAGAGCACACAGGTGTGTTCTGCCCTTCCTGTGGCCTGAGCCCTGCTGCGTGTTCACATTTTTTTTTTTTTAAGATTTCACTTATTTATTTGGTGGGGGGTGTGGGGGGAGAGGGAGAGAGAGTGTGAGTACAAGCAGGGGGAGCGGCAGGCAGAGGGAGAGGGAGAAGCAGGCTCTCTGCTGAGCGGGGAGCCTGGCTCAGCCCGAAGTGGGGTTTGATCCCAGACCCCGGGATCACAACCTGAGCCAAAGATAGACATTCAGCTGACTGAGCCACCCAGGTGCCCCTCGTGTTCACATTTAAGTTTAACCCTGTGAGTTTCATTTTTCTAGCTGTCTGTTCTTTTGGAATCTTTCTTTTAGCTTCTTTCTCAGTCTTGGTGCTGCTGCTGCTTGCTTGGAATTTTTGGTATGAGCTTTCCATTTGAGTTAGGTGCCCCATCATCTGAATCCCCTACCTCCTTTACAGTTCTTCTGCCACATCACGCCTGGGTTTTTAAGACACTAGCATGAGCCATTGCCCACAGAGTGAGCTTTCACATAGGGATGAGCGTGCCACATGAGGTCTTCTCATGGGGCCTCAGGTCTGTCTTTGCAGCCTGGCTCCTGAGAAGGCAAAGATTTCTCTCCTTTGGAATGTTCAGGAATTCCCTTTCCCCCTCTCAGCTAGTCTTCTGTATTTCTGTCTTTCAGGGGCCAGTTCAAATTTTATTTTGAAGGAGACTCTGCTCGGTCCCCCACACAGCTATTAATTTTGCTGCTCCAGGGCCCCTGTTTTCTGTTAACATAGCACAATTTCATCAGGGTCTGTCCCTCCCACCATGGAGTCAGCCCAAGTCTGTTCACTTTGTTCAGCTGCCTGAGCACAGTGTTCTTGTCCCAGTCAGTGGAGTTTGGTAATCGTGCCTTCATCATCGTTGTTTTCCCTCTTGGGTGGAGAAAAACCATGCTTGCTTTTAGAGCCTTCAGTCCCCAGCTGGGATCCCTGGACAGGGGTAGTGCCTGAGAGCTCCCTGAAATGATGTGAGGGTGTTTTGTATAAATACATTTTCCGGGAAAAGGATTCGTGTCTCAAAGTGTTCCGACCCCACTGTTTGGTTCCCTCACAGGGCATCAGGTCCTGAAATAAGCACCTGAACCCACCCCAGGTAGCTCACTGGCATCACCCGTGCTTGTGTTTCAGCCTCACATTACTGATCCCGAGGACGCACAGTTGTTTCTGTTTATAATAGACATTGGGTCATTTTAGGACATTAGATTTGTTGTATACCACAGACTATTTTTATAATATGCACCTTTAAAAAATTTGGCTTTAAGTTGGAGGAACATGGGAGTGTGTTCCTGAGAATTTAATTTCTAGGAGCTGGGAGTTTAGTTTCATTTCTCAATGGCTACATTACAGGTACTAAACTTCTGTGAACCATCTGGGGATTAGTATATACTATTGAATCTGCTGCATGTTTTCCCCTGGAAACCAGAGTCCAGGCCAATGGCTGTTGGAATGTGGCTAGTTCAATTGTGTTTGTGAACTGGTTACGGATGTGGTTTTTGCTGCAAAGGGGCATCGAAGGCAGTAACCTGGGTAGCAGATTAATAATTCATTTGCCCATGTCTGAAGGGGTGCAGATCATCTGGCTTGAGCTTTCTGCAGACCTATGACTCAGTCTTTGTGTGAATAGTTTGTGGAATATAGTTTTGGCCGAAAAGCTAGTAATGACCGCATTTCATTGCCTTCCCTCTCCTGGAGTGAGGGCACCTGCCAACCTCCGTGCTTTGTATACTGTGTGTGTGTGATTCCTCATGTCTGTGGAATCACTGTGTCTTCTCATTGGCTTACAAATTGAAGCAGAGAGCCACATGACTCCTGAGGTTGTCAATCTAGTTCATGGCCGGGTTTTCTCCTCAGACTTGGGCCTCGTGTTTCCTATTCACAGTAGAGGGTGGTTCTGCCCTACTGAGCGGTTGCTGGAGTCAGCCTTCTGCGCCGTCACCCGTCTTATTGTAGCCCAATGGAATCTGTTGTTTTCTAGCTGAATTGTTGGCTTAGAGATGAGGTGCCAAAGTCAAGGTTACTGTAGACCTCTTGTAAGAAACATAGGTACTCTTAAGGCAGTTTATAAAATATTTTAAAGAGATTCACAAACAACATAATTTTGGGAGGTATTTGTTTTTTGTGCAACTTCTGTATAATTTCATATTCTTGAATTTTTTTCTATTTGATGTATAATGTTTTTATACTTTACAGCTACATAATCTTTTTAGTAAGAATCATTAGCTTCCCCCCCCCCCTCTATTTTTGGCCATTCAGGTTACATCTACTTTTATTCTTAGTATTGTGAATTACACTTAATAAATATATTTATGCCTGTCATATTTTGCCTCTTGGAATGCTGTATTTCCTTATAATACATTTCTAGAAGTAGATTACTTTTGTTTTTTTAAGTAGGCTCCACACCCAGCGTGGAGCCCAGTGTGGGGCTTAAACTCATGACCCTGAGATCAAGACCTGAGCTGAGATCAAGAGTCGGGGACTGAGCCTCCAAGGTGCCCCTAGAAGTGGATTACTTTTTTGAAGAGGGATTTTTTTTTTCCAGTTTTTGAAATACATTAAGAAGAAAGTCCTTACCAGTCACACTTATCGGCCGTACAAATGCATATTCTCCTACAAACTTGTCCCTTGGCTATTTGACTTTCAAAATATGGCACCTTCTTGCTGTAACCTGTGTTTCTTTGGTCCTAGGGGACTTTGTACCTTTCTTGTGTTTTTCCCTAGTCCCATTTCTGCACATGTGACTTCTGCCTGAGTCCTTTCTTATCACAGCAGATGCCATGCTGTGCACCCGGTTTTGAGTGGACACGTATTCAGTGGGTGATACCAAAGTGGATTGTGGAGGGTTTTTTGTTAGTAGACTTCTGTGCACGTATTCACAAAGCTAGATTTATAAAAGGGCTCTTTTACTAGAATATTAAGAGTCATTGTTTTTGTAATTAAGAATATGAATCTTGTTTTCCCTACAGATTAGAAAAACCTGACTTTGTCATTCTTCAGAAGTTAAAAATTTTTTTATAATTAAATATGTCAGTGTTCTCTCGCATAATTTGTTCATGTAAGATTTTTTGTAAAGATAAAAAGGCCTCATACTCTTTAAGGATAGTTTGAGAGGAAAAAAGCAAAGCAGGTAGTCCCTGGTCCCTCCCAGCCCTGTGACTTAGACTGAGACATCGCTGAGCTTCTTGACCCAATGCTGCTGTGTGGTTTGTGTGCCACACAGCTGGGTGAGGGGCTGAGCTCCTGTCAGGCTCAGTGCCAGGGCTGGTCCTTCACCCTGGGTAGGTGAGTGAGGTGGGACACCTTCTCATGCTGGTTTTTCTTTTAGCTCTAGCCAGCCCTGTCCTGGGCCTGAAGGAATGCACCAGAGGCTCAGCAGTGTGGTGTCAGAACGTGAAGACAGCAGCTGATTGTGGGGCCCTGAAGCACTGCCTGCAGACCGTCTGGAACAAGCCGACGGTGGTAAGTGCCATTGGGACTGTACTCAATCTCCTTATGTCATCTGTAGCTGTTGGCATTTACAAAGCGCTTTCTTTTGCCTCACTTCGTTTGCTCCTCACGGTGACCCTGTGAGGGAGGCAGGATCTGTTGCAGGGTGGATCCATTTTAGCACAGTGGAAACAGAGTCTCAGAGAGATTAAGGTTCTATTCCCCCAAGGTCAGGGAGTCTCTTTCTGGCAGTGAGAGGCTGAGGTCCGCCCATAGCCACCACTGTGTGCACTCCATGCTGCCTTCTGGGCCTCGGTGCATGTCCCACCTCTGCACTCCAGGTGAGGGACCAGAGGTTTGCAGCTTCCGTTCCCGGGGCTGGGTACAAGGGCACAGCTCTATCCCTTGGTCACTCAAAAAAGTAGATGCTAGGGACGCCTGGGTGGCGCAGTCGGCTAAGCATCCGAGTCTTGGTCATGAGTTCAGGTCATGATCTTAGGGTCATGAGATCGAGCCCCATTTCAGGCTCTGCACTCAGCACTGAGTCTGCTTGAGTTTCTCCCTCTGCTGCTATGTGCTCTCTCTCTCAAATAAATAAATACATCTTAAAAAAAAGTGGATGCTAAACTTTTGAAATCCTTCTCTGCTTTTTGGTATTTTCATTCTTTGCCTCTCGGAGACAGGCAGATCGCGGATTCAGACGCTAGAGCGTAGTAGCTATTTAAAATGTTATTTCTAGCTGTAGCCAAACTGGAAAAGATGCTACTGAATTTTTTTTTTTAATACGGAACACTTCACAAATTTGCATGTCATCCTTGCATGGGGCCATGCTAATCTTCTCTGTATTGTTCCAATTTTAGTATATGTGCTGCCGAAGCAAGGCCGATGCTACCGATTTTTCATCTAAATAGTGTTAAATATAGCATATTAATGTGGGGCTCCTTACATTCATGGGGAATACTCTGAGATGACAAAGAAGTGCATTCTTCCTGCGACCTGAACCCTCAGGAGACGCCTGAGCTTTGTTGGCTCTACCAGCTGACTGCAGAATATGCATGTGGCTCGCTCCAGGATGTGCCACCCCTGACTGTGTGGAGTTCCAGGTCTAAAACTTGTCACCAGTGGCCACTAGTGCTGCTTCATTAAGAGAAGAACAATTAAAGACCCTGTTCTTTTAGAAGTGGTTTCTGAATTTGCTGAAACACCACCCTCTGTGGCCAAAATTACTTTCTGATTTGGTTTCTGATTTGCTTCTCATCTTGTTTTTAATACGGCTTCCTCTTTTCAAATTCAGTGTGTGACAAAGGGAGGACTTTAGCTCTTCTCTTTTGATAGGGCAGTTTCGTGGTTGCCTGAATCTGGTATTAGCCTGATAAGGCGCAGAGGTTCAAATTGATTTCTTTCAACGCAGCTAAGTTCACAGGTATTCCTTCATCTCACTCAGACGTGTTAGGTCCTTCTTTCTTCATGGGTTGAAAATCAGTTGACCTCAAGAAGGGAGCTTCCCATGAGCCTCAAGAAGCAGCTAGAATCTCCATGTCCGGGGCCACATGGGGCCCGGGGTGCCCAGGCTTGTCAGGGGACAGGCGTGCTGTTTCTACGCTCTGGGGTGGTGACATATGGCTTCCATGAGAGCATAGCAGCCCCCGGGAGCCGGAAGGTAGATAGAGTGCAGGAGTCAGTGCCAGGGTTCGGCTGGGCTTCTCTGCCGCACCCCCTTTTACTCTGTGATAGTACCTGACCCCAGGTGACTGGTCTTCTCTGAGTTCCACCTTTCCAAGCCTCAGTTTCCTCCTGGAGCTCTTGTGAGCATTACGACACTTGGCCTGTGCCGTGTGTGCTGAGGTGTGGAGGGTACAAGAAGAAAAGGGTATCTGTCCCTAGAAGCCCAGAGTGTTCTGGTCAGTCCTGCCTGACCCTGATCCTTCCCCTGTGCTTTTCATCTAGTTGGGGAACCAGGATGTGCCAGTGTGTCTGACATCCCTGGTTAGATGGAATAGGACAGAGGCCGGGGGGCTTTGCAGCTGTGTACGGTGTGCGCTACGTCCTGCAAATACAGATCTCTCTCCCTCATGTTCTTTCCTCCTAGAAATCCCTTCCCTGCGACATATGCAAAGATGTCATCACTGCAGCTGGCGACATGCTGAAAGACAATGCCACTGAGGTGAGCTGCTAGGAGTATGTGTGACCTCGTGTGAGCAGTGACCATGTGTGAGCAGTGACCTCGTGTGAGCAGTGACCTCGTGTGAGCAGTGACCATGTGTGAGCAGTGACCTCGTGTGAGCAGTGACCTCGTGTGAGCAATGACCACGTGTGAGCAGTGACCATGTGGTCATGTGCATCCGTTCCTTAAACGAGCTGTCCACAGCTTTGGGGGTCTAAGAAGGGATGGTCTAGGTAGGAAGTAGTTCAGATCTTGTGAGCCACGTACTTTTTCTGTCATATTTTTTTTTTCTTTCTTCCCCATATCCTTTAAAAATGTAAAAACCATCCTGAGCCACAGGCTGTACAGAAACAGCCTGTGGGAGCTAGCTTGCTGTTCCCTGGCCTCGGTGTTTAAATGCCCGGGGTCGATGGGGACTTTTATATCGCTGGTCGCTAACTTAGGTCCGTTTTGGCCATCTCTGCTCAGGATTCTCTGTCCCCATGTGACTGCAGTCAGAGCAGCTTCATTTTGAGGAATGTCTGCTTTTTGCCTGTTTGACCAGTGCAGCCACGGCCAGCCACTAGCCCTCTCCCAGGGCTCTTCCCAGAGGCCGCTGTTTGCTGGGAGCTGTGGGGGTCCTCTGCTCTCAGTCGTTTGCGGAGCAGAAGTCCATCCTGATCCGACGCTTGCCTGTATCCCCTTAGCAAGAGATCCTCGTGTACTTGGAGAAGACCTGTGACTGGCTGCCTAATCCGAACTTGTCTGCCTCGTGCAAAGAGATGGTTGACTCCTACCTCCCAGTCATCTTGGACATGATTAAAGGACAAATGGTATGTGGTGGAGAACAGACTCTTCCTTTAGGGAACTTCCTGGGCCCAGGGAGGTGCCAGACCAGAACAGAATGATTAAAGTGGAAAGTCTTTTCATGAATTTGGGTTTTCTCAACATCTTGTTACTATAGTTCTGACATCTAAGAAGGCTTTGGCCAGCAGAACACTGTGCTTGTAACTTTCACAGTTGGGGGAGAGTACAGGAAATGGGAGAGTTACAGGAAATGTAGACTAGTACTAAAGGAATTGTGAACTGCTACAACATTTATACGTGCCTGTTTGCTCTCATGTCAGATCTTTAGCTCTTCCTTTGAGCATGCAATTCATTTCATTTCTGTGCTTTTTATCCTAAGTGGACTGAGCTACAGGGGTGTTCTGCTTGCATTCAAATATGCATCTACTGTGCACAAACCACGTGCTACTGCACTGGTTTTCAGCCACAAACAAGGAGCTGGCTTTGTGGAATTTAGAAAGACCCTAAGAAAGAGGTGTTCAAAAAACAGGGCCAGCAGTGCAGGAGTGTGCCAAGACTGGACCAAGGTTTTGGCGAGGGTGGCATGGGTCACAGCATGCAAGGCCTTTTAGGCTCTGTTTAAGGATTGCAGGTGCAAGTAGGAAGTCCTTGGAGGGTTCAAGGGGAGCAGTGACCTTCTGTAAAGGGTTTGGACTAGGTCCCACCAGTTGGGAGTTGGAAGAGGGGAAGCTGGCAGGACAGCACATGTGAGATATGATGGGGCAGTGGAGGTAGACAGATGCGTGTTCTGTTTCAGAGGAGAAATGGGCTGGACCTGCTGAGGGAGGGGAGGAACAGAGAGAGGAGTGAGGAATGTCTTCCAGGTCTCTGGCTTGAGCTGCTGGGACCTGGGTTGGGGAGCCATTTGCTAAGGTGGAGATGGAGGGGGGAGCAGGTGGGGTGGTTTTGTGAGCAGGGCACGCGTATGAGTCAGGTCAGGAGGTAAGGACAGGGACTCATTCAGGGGCACCGGGTGGTGGTTTTGCTTTCCTCTGGGGAGAGGATTTCCAGCTGGACTTATTTCCCCACTAGAGCCGTCCTGGGGAGGTGTGCTCTGCCCTCAATCTCTGCGAGTCTCTTCAGAAGCATCTGGCAGAACTGAATCACCAGAAACAGCTTGAGTCCAATAAGATCCCGGAAATGGATGTGGCTGAGGTGGTGGCTCCCTTTATGGCCAACATCCCCCTCCTCCTCTACCCTCAGGACGGCCCCCACAGCGAGCCCCAGCAGAAGGTAAGGCAGTAGGCCCAGCCACTGAGGGCCCTGTTTCTCATTGGAGTAGAGATGGGACATGAGAGAGAGAGAGAGAGAGAGAGAGAGAGAGAGAGAGTGTGTTTTCTCAAACTGGGGGCTTATTCTTCATTTGACCCTGCAGTTACCCGAGCCACCCTTCAAATAGTTGTGCCATGGAGGTTCTGAAGAACTTGGGGAATTTAAAGTGTGCAAAGACTTCTCTGTGTTATAATTAAGTTTTATTGAAATCAATGCCTAATTGATTTTAAGCCTGTTGATAATTTTAGAGCATATAAAAACACAGAACTGGGGCCTCTGGTTGGCTCGCTCCATGGAGTGTGTAGCTCTTGATCTCGGGGTTGTGAGTTCGAGCGCCATGTTGGGTGTAGCCATTACTTAAAAACAAAAACAAAAAACTGTAAAACACAAAACTGTTCAGTAAGTCACCCCCTAGTGCTGTGGTCATGAACATATAAGGAAATTTTCTTGGGAATTTGGATCCTTTTAGTTATATGCTGTGTTTACAGCCTGAACACACCCTCCCCCCCCCCCCCCCCCCCCCCCCCCCACCGTAGGCTGGTGGGGACGTCTGCCAGGACTGCATCCAGATGGTGACAGACATCCAGAATGCCGTAAGGACCAACTCCACCTTTGTCGAGGCCTTGGTGGACCATGCCAAGGCGCAGTGTGACTTCCTGGGGCCCGGCATGGCTGACATGGTAAGCCTTCTCTCTTCATGCATGGGAGGGTGTGCTGGACCAGGGAGCTTGGCTCTGGACATTGGAGCGGGGGACCCAAGAAAACTTCAGTTCCCGAGGTACAAGTTCCAAACCCAGGGCTTTAAGGAAGAGATGGTTCAAACAAAGCCCATTTTCTTTTTCTCAGAAAGCATCTGGAATATTTGGTGGGTACTTAAATACTTTGTTGGTTAGTTGAATTTGTATATGTAACCAAACACTTGGGATAAAAGAGTGGAAGGAGACCACTTTTGTGAGGATTCATTTTCCTCCTGGTCACCATATAAAAAACAACACCAGAATCCTTTATAAGCTTGTTTTTAAAAGCCTGGCTGTCGTATAGTCGTAATTCTAAGTGTGTGCTGTCCATGGGAAGCCGTGCAGGGGCTTGCAAGAGATTCACTCGGGACGCCTTCCTTACCTTGGTGAATGTTAGTCCTGTAGGCTAAGAAACTCATTTTGTTAGTCTCTTAGAGGGTTTCGCTTCTTGGACCCAATTCACATTAACCACACGTGTGTGAGGTTGACGTGTAAAACCAAAATGCTAGTTTTGTACCTGGTAATGGAAAAACCTTGGTGTAGGGAAGCTGGTTGTAATAACTCCATGGGTCTGGGATCTAAAGCAGCCTTCTTGGGTAGGAATGGCTGGTTCTGGGAGCTTTGGGTTCTTCTCCGTTGACTTCCTCTGGGAATCTTTTGGCCTCCTTGAAGTATCTTTGTATATCGCTGTGTTAACTTGGCTTCCCCAATTCAACCCTGTCTGAGGGCTGTTATTATTACCCTTGGCTTTCTCACTGTGGAGGCACTCGAGTGTGGCCAGAACTATTCTTTGAGGGTCTGCAGGAATTCCTCCTGGATTTTAGCTTTAAAGTCTTGTCCAGGAATGCATGAGTGGGTTTGAAAAGTCACCTAGTGTTCCTA